AAGAAAGGGGAGGAAAAAAAAAAAAAAAAAAACCCAAAACAAAAAAGTGTTTCCTACTTTATTTGTTGTTCTTTTTTTAAGGAAAAAAAAAATATTTGCATTTTTTTAAATTGGCGTGCAATTAAGATGATAATGTGCTCTCGCTGAGGGTGGAATCTTGGAGAGCAAAATACACCAAGCTGCTAAAGCTGTAAACTCTATCTACTGGCTACCTTTCTGGAGGATTTTGAGAGCGCATTTTCAATTTGCATCGTGCTAAATATTTATTAGCAGGATTGACTGGAAATGCTTCAAAGGAGCTGTTCTGGTCTGCTAGATACATAATAGTGACTTTTAAAGAACTGCCTTAATAAGCGGTTACCTTAGGGAACTCTTCTGGTCGTGTGGTTAAATAATACATGTTTTATAAACTTTAGTGGAAGACTTAATGCTCTATTTTCATTCGAATACCTAAAGAAAAAAAAACCAAAAACAAAAAAACAAGAGAAAACATGAATACAACATTGGTGTGCTTCTGTTTGTGACAAGCCCTGCTAAAGGGGAAGGGATCTGAGGCTGCAGCTGCCATAGAGTCTCCGAGGTGGAGGTTGCCTGCCTGGCCTCTGCAGGACTTATTTTTCCCCTAAGCTGCTGCTGCTTCAAGCCCATATATGCCCAAAGCCTGGCTGAAGGTGGCTTAGGAATGTAGACAGGTCCCTGTCCCTGCGAAGGGCACTTTAGGGTGCTCTGGAGCGGGCAGGGAAGCAGAGGTGAGGAAGACGTGCAAAGATTGGGTACCACTTTGATGGTGTTACACCTAATGATACCTGGGGAAGACAGAAGATGAAGGCCTCGAGGGAAAGGGCAAAAGGATGCTCGTGGTGCTGCTTGCTCCGTGCCTCCCAGGCAGAGGTTGGCTCCCTCCCCTGTGCAGCAGCAATTCCTTTCAAGTTGTAGGTGACTTCCCATGTGGAAACCAGGGAGATGGTTAGGAAGCAGGACCTGGTTCCTAGCCTGCTGGTCACACTTCATCTCATGCCCTGGTACTGGAAGATCAGTCTCTGAGGAGTTGATTTAACAGGTGACTAAATGTTATTTAGCAGGGTAACAGGGAATACTTCTGCCATCCCAGCAGAGCTTCCAGCTTCCCTGAAAGCGCGCTGAAAAAAATAACACGCAGCAGCCATCCCATGTCCCCAAAATCTGTCTGTCTGAGCAGAAAGTCTCTGGGAGAAAGCAAGCAAACGCTGCAGGCTCCCCATATTTGCTTGAACCACCCTACTCCTGCTTCCCTCCCAGGATGGGGCAGGCGATAGTTGAGTTTTGCAGCTGACGTGACGAAGGGTTGTCCCTCCTTTTCTTCAAGCAGAAGTGGGGCAGCAGCCCCTGTTTCAGGAAACGTGGTGTGTGAGTGCCTATAGGCGTACGTATAGGTTTACCCCCCATCTCTGGGTGGGAGCAGCGTGAAGCAGAGTTGCAAAGAGCCTCCTTGTGCAGAGCTAATCTGGCAGGCGGTGGGGGTTTGCCCACCTGCTTGCAGCTGTTTGTCTGGCTTACAGGCTAAAATGCAGCAATATGTGTGTCTGGGTGTTAAAGCATAAAGAAGCTAATCCAGCTGGCAGTCCTGCCCCGGAGAAACCAGTGGACACTCAAAAAGTGACATTTAGGGTGGATTGTTTTGGTCGGTTTGTTTTCTTTTCCTGTCATTTGCAGAAATAGCATCTACGTGTCATTTACATGGATGCTGCTTTTACATTTAAAAAAAAAAAGAAAAGAAACATTGTGGTTACAAATATGCTTTGGTTATGATAAATTTCTACGCTTATAACATTTCCATTTCCTCAAGCTTGAAGATTTGTAAACTGCATCCAGCTTGATGACAAAAATGCCTACAACTCATTGTGATATGCTGTTTTCTTTTTTGCTAAAACCACAGGCAAAAGTCTTCCTGCTTGTAGACCTGTGCCGCCTTCTGTAGATGAAAAAACCAACCCCTTTCTTTTTTTTTCTTTTTCCTTTGTTTCTCCCAACAGGTCCTGGGTTATAGGTGCTATAGCCCTACTCTGCCTATTAGGACTGACCTGGGCGTTTGGACTCATGTATATTAATGAAAGCACAGTCATCATGGCCTATCTCTTCACCATATTCAATTCTCTACAGGGAATGTTTATATTCATTTTCCATTGTGTCCTCCAGAAAAAGGTAAGACAGACGGTTCCCGGCGGCAAAAGAGGTGGTAACGGGGTGTTTTTGTTGCCTGACAACCGCAGCGTAACAACGTGTGTCTGTGTGCCCTGAATTCATCTCACACGCAGATTTATCTCCCTGAACCTAATAAGGGTGGTATTTAGACTGGGAAGGGCAAGATGCAGGGGAAGGAGGTGATAAGATATGTGGCAGTGGCATTTCAGCAACCGGGTGGCTGGCAAGGAGGGGACGAGGCAGCTGTCCCTCTGCAAGGCTTTAGGCCTTTAGGCCTGTCTGTAATGGGGCTTTGCCTGCTGTCAGCCAGCTTCTCCTCTCCCACACGCCGGCGTGAGGCATTGCTCCTCCAGCATCCGGAGGGTCCTCACCTGGCTGAGTGCTCGCAGCAAAATGGAGCTTTACGTCCCCATTTGCAGCCCCTGCAGCAATCATAGAATCGTAGAGTGGTTAGAGTTGGAAGGGACCTTAAAGATCATCAAGTTCTCCGGCTTTAAGCCAGAGGGGAACAGATTTAGATTGGAGATGAGGAGAGGGTTCTTCACTGTGAGGGTGGTGGAGCACTGGAACAGGTTGCCCAGGGAGGTGGTTGAGGCCCCATCCCTGGAGATACTCAAGGTGAGGCCCGACGAGGCCCTGGGCAACCTGGTCTAGTTGGGGGTGTCCCTGCTGACTGCGGGGAGGTCGGACTAGATGGCCTTTGGAGGTCCCTTCTGGCCTGGACAACTCTATGACTCTATGACTCTAAGTTCCAACCCCCTGCCCAGGGCAGGGACACCTCCCACCAGACCAGGTTGCTCCAAGCCCCATCCAGCCTGGCCTTGAACCCCTCCAGGGATGGGGCAGCCACAGCTTCTCTGGGCAACCTCTTCCAGTGTCTCACCACCCTCACAGCAAAGAATTTCTTCCTCAAATCTATTCTAAATCTCCCCTCTTCCAATTTAAAACCATTCCCCCTTGTCCTGTCACTGCACTCCCTGACAAGGAGTCCCTCCCCAGCTCTCCTGTAGCTCCCTTCAGATATTGGAAGGCTGCTCTAAGGTCTCCCCAGAGCCTTCTCTTCTCCAGGCTGAACAATCCCAGCTCCCTCAGCCTGTCTTCCTAGGAAAGTTGCTCCATCCCTCTGAGCATCTTTGTGACCCTCTGCTGGACCCGTTCCAACAGGTTCATGTCCTTCCTGTGCTGAGCACTCCAAAGCTGGACACAGGGCTCCAGGTGGGGTGTCACAAGAGCAGAATCACCTCCCTCACCCTGCTGGCCACACTTCTTTTGATGCAGCCCAGGATGGGGTTGGCTTTCTGGGCCATCACCCCTTTCTATAGCAACATATATGAGTTGATGGTATGTAGCAGGGCCTGCGTCACCCAATTTTTTTAAGTCATGAATGGACCTATGCTCTGGAACAGTTCACTACCCTTTGTATGGCTTGGTCCTAGCTTGGGCTTCTGTAAATCTTCCTCAAAGCAAGCACACTAAGTGCTTCTCGGTGGAACTTGAAGTATGCCCCAACTAACATTTGCAAGAGAACAGTGGAGTAGCTTAGGTAAACTCTGGGGTGAAAAAAAAAAAATCAAAATAAAAATCTTTGTGTGTATATGGAGATCAAGCTTACAGCCTCTGACAATCAGTAATAAATAGTTTTGAGAACCATTTCATTCTCCACTGAAATTCAGTACCAGAGAGCTCTCCAATTCTGTGCATTGTCTGCTGATAATTTTGTATGTACATCTTGGTTTCAAAGGGCAGTTTCTTTATCCAGTATAAACATGGGGAAGGGTTTATACATTAATACATCTGGGTTTCTCAGAAGGGTTTATACATTAATACATCTGGGTTTCCCAGTGTAGAATCATAGAATGGTTTGGGTTGGAAGGGACCTCAAAGATCATCGAGTTCCAACGATGATAATAAGAATGTAGGCAGCATCACCATCACTAATTAAACCTGCAGGTGCCTCTTTGGCAAGGAGTCTGAATTTCTGCACCATTCTCACTGGTTGATTCTCTTGCCTCCAAAGCAACCCATAAAGGGTCAGTCCCTAACCTGGCATCCCAGCAAGGCACCGCAGCCTCCTTGGCTGTCGGAGTGCTCACTTGGCATGGAAAAACCATTCTCTTTTCTTTCTCAAGCCAGTTTACACCCTTAAATGGTCACTGGTGGCTGTGGGATCGCTGCTGATTTATGGCTGCATCGAGGGAAGGCGGATGCAGCTGGTACCTTGCTGTGGGGTGGATGCATCTCTGACCCCAGAGCTCAGGGAGGAATTATTTGAGAGGAGGGAAAAAAAAAAAAAAATCATTTCCTTTCCTATCTATCATGGACTAGGAAATCAGCAAAAAGCTGCAGAGAGGCAAGCAGTGGGTGGCTAATTAAAGCAATTGAATTATTTTCTCTCAGCAAAGGATTGATTAGGCACTCGAGCATATTGGGTACTCACGGTATTGTGTTTGTCTCAAGCGCTTAAGGAAGAGCCTAATGAAAAAGCTGTAATTTGCTTTTTAAACAGTTGTTTCACAGAGTTTTGAAATGCTCATAGGCAGTCTGGTAAAATTTCACAGCTCACCCTGCGCTCTGAGGAAACTCAACTGGTGTTTTGGGTATGCATGGATTTGTGGGGGCTTTTTTTTGTCAATGGGCAAAGTGACCTGCTTTTGGCTTTTCAGTATATTTTCAGTCTTGTCCCATCTGTTTTCTGGGTATTGCTGCCCATGAAAAAAAAAAAAAAATCACATCTGAAGCTCAGACAAAGCTTAGATCCTGCCTTGGCACAAGTCTGGAGCACTGGGTCCAGTTCTGGGCTCCCCAGTTCCAGAAGGACAGGGAACTGCTGGAGAGGGGACAGCAGAGGCTACAGAGATGATGAGGGGCCTGGAGCATCTCCCTTACGAGGACAGGCTGAGGGACTTGGGGCTTTTGAGTCTGGAGAAGAGAAGGCTGAGGGGGGATCCGATCAATGCAAAACACTGATGTGGGCTTTTGAGTCTGGAGAAGAGAAGGCTGAGGGGGGATCTGATCAATGCAAAACACTGATGGTTTTTTTGTCAGAGTTGGGTTGGACTAGATGATCTTGAAGGTCCCTTCCAACCTAGATGATTCTATGGTTCTACTACAACAGCTATCATTTTAATGAACCACTGAGGAAAAAAATCAGGGGCCGTGTTGACAATTGGAAGGCAGTTGACTGGAGGAGGAGCTGCCCACTCACCACTGTTGCTCTTCCCTTGGCCAGGTACGTAAAGAGTATGGAAAATGCCTGCGCACGCATTGCTGTAGTGGGAAAAGTACAGAGAGCTCTATTGGCTCAGGAAAAACCTCGGGATCACGGACCCCTGGAAGATATTCCACAGGCTCACAGGTAACGTGCACTTCTTGTCCTCCCCCCGATGCTTTGTCAGGAGCTGGGAGCATTTTGTCAGCTATGCTACATCCCAGTATGTCCTTTAATCACGAGCTGAAGGTTGTTGTCACTGCTGTTGCCATGTGCAGGAATGATGGGATAACAACCACGTATTTTTCTTGTTAAAAACAAGACCACAAGTGTCTTGCAAGAGCCTTCACAGTGAAAGGGCTTGCTTTCTGACATTCAGTGGGCTGATCAATTCCTTGCCTCATTCAATTTGCTTTAGTTTATAGACCTCTGAGGGGAATCCATTGGGGTCAGATTATCTTATTAAGTTACTGGATTTGTTACACTTTGGTCACCTGAAAATTCTGTTTTTGTGTACTTTGTGCACTTGGCAATTTTGAAGCTAACTTGTACCTACAGTTGCAGATTTATGGGCAAACAGTTCGTATAAAATGAAGAAGCTTACTTCTTAATCAATAGAAACCAAACACAAATTTATTCTGTATTACTAATGGAAGTAATTACACATGACAGCTCCACTATTAAATTATGAAAGACATGCAAGGAGTAACAGTTTATAACCTCCCAGGAAAACCTAATTTGCGATATATGTCTTGGAGCAAATTATTATTTATTTTCAGCTGTTTCCAAGATGTCATCCAAGAGCTCCACTTTGGTATTATGTAGGTCTGTATGTTATGCAGGGAAAATAACAACAAGAGAACATGGAACCTCTCTCCAGGAGGCCATCAAATCTCACAGTAATCAATAATGTCCAAAACTCACTGTATCCAGCAACATCTGGGTGGCTGATTGGAAAGCCTTTGGTTTGACATAGTTTAGCTACTGGGTAGGTGCCCTCCTGCCTGAGAAGAGTTGACTTTAATTGGCCCTCCTTCTTGGCAGTCTTAGCACAAGAAAACAAGCCCTTTTGAGGCTGAACTGAGTCTCCTGGAAGCAGTCAACGCATGGCAGGCAAGGTTTAAGGTAGCAAGGAAGACTATTTTGCTGCAGAAGCTTGTCCTTAGAAGGACAGAAGTCCCTGAGACCTGTCGTAGGCAGGAAAATCCTCACACAGGTGATGGAGAGTGGATGGAGATCAGTCTGAGCTGTTGGAAACAGCTGACTCCCAACTTTTGAATAGAGAAGTCCATGAGGAGAAAAGCTCCTAAACCCCTTTTTTAATCTGAAAAGCACTTAGGAAACAGAATAATTAATCCACAATGGATCTTGTCAGAGAAATACAATAGATTAAATGTCCAGGTGAAAAATAATTGCACTAAAAGTGCATGCACCTCATGTCATATTGTGCTTCCATTTATAGAGGGCTAATGCATAATTAGCACATGCTGTTACTGCATAGTTAATGAGTAGACTAGGAAGCACTTTTCAGCTGTGACAATACGTGTAAGCCCTGGAAGATCTTGCATGGCTAAGACCCCACTATGGAAAGCACTTGATTTTTGGCAATTAGGAAAAAAACATGGTCTATCACAGTGGGAACAAGCCTTCCCAGTCCCCCAGACCACCTAGCACCACTTTCACACAGCCGTGGGGGCACGTCCATTGTACTCTGAGAGGTGAAGTGAGGAAGAGTTTCCCCTAAACACCTGGGATCCCCAGTCATCTTCACATGGGGATTGTGGTTGAACCGCTCAAAAATCGGCTGATTGTTTTATCTTTTGCAAGGTCTAGTTGGGGAGGAGTGAGACAGTGGCATGAAAGCCACAGGGGTAGATACTCCACGATATATTTGAGAACCAAAAGAGAAGGCAAACACATTCAGGGCACTGTTTCCTCAGCAGCAGAAGCAAAACCACCACAGATTTTTCAGTAGAGGAGCAGAAGTCATCCATTTGTGGGGGATTTTTCCCCCGATCTTCCCCAAGATGGACAGTAGCTATAGAAAAACTTCTGCTCATTCAGGGACACCAAGACAAAGATCAAGTCTTCTTTTACTCCTCACAAAAAATAAGACACAAGCTATATGAGATAGCAAGGGGAGCGTGCATGTTTCTGTATGTAAATTATTTTTCTGGTATTTGGTACTGTATTGGTAAATCTGTAGCTCGCACAGGTCTGGGTTTCTCTTGTATACGATTTCTGTTGCTTCTTTTTTTAATTAAGATGTAAGCAATCCAATTATGCTCTTCTTTGAGGTAGAGAGGCGTTTGTGTTATGAAGTTAGGCAGGCAGCGTCTGGCAGGAGCAAAACAGCAACCACTTGCTTACAGCTGTCTAGAAACAAGTCTCATTCCTGAGCTAAAGATGCCAATATCCACCTTTAGTGAGGCAGAAAGAAACCTCTCTGCAGCTGCTAGAAATTCATTACTTGCTGTGGTTCAATCCCCCTTCAGAGCCGGATTCGTAGGATGTGGAATGACACAGTTCGAAAGCAGTCCGAGTCTTCCTTTATTACTGGAGATATAAACAGTTCAGCTTCACTCAACAGAGGTAATTATAAAATACTTTTCGTATTTCTAACTCTTTTAATGGCTTTAAGGAGTCTGAAATGTGTTGCCCTTTCCCCTCCTCCCCCCTCCCCTGCTCCTCCCCTTGAACGACACTGGACTCACATAAGAAATGTTACGGTGATAACTGGGAGGAGGTGTTGTGGTTGTTGCCTTTTTTTTCCTTTTCTTTCTTTATTTTTACACATGCCTTTTCAAGAATTGTCATTTCTGGAAGGGAGTTTATTTTTCCTCCAGTACAATTAGTATATGGCTTAGCCTTGAGCAACCAGATGCCAAATTCTGTTTTGTTTATCTGCCCAGTTGATGCTGGAATTAAGAGGGGTTGGAATTGAGATTACTGGGCCCAGCTGTTCTCTCATGACAGTGAAAAATCAGAAGTATTTCAGTCCTAAGGGTTGGACTGCAAAGCTGGGCTGAGAATTGAGTAGGGAGTTTGGTTCTTATTCAGTGTTTTTTCACCCAGAATTCCCATTTTAGGATTTTAGGGTGAGTTTTGCCTGAGGATAGTCTTGAAGGATTTTGACTGTGCTGTTAGTAATATTGACTACCAAGTGCTGGGGAACAAGGGGTATACAATTCAGCTCTCTGAACATGATAGATATCACCCACCTCAGCACAAAGGGGAAGTAGTTAGCATGGAGATGTAATTTCCTCCCTCAACTCGCTCTGGTGGGTTTTTTTTGCCAGGGTATTTTTACTTTGCACTGACGAGCCATTAATAGAGATGGACTCGCTCTGGTGGGTTTTTTTGCCAGGGTATTTTTACTTTGCACTGACGAGCCGTTAATAGAGATGGCCATAAGATGCTGTTCCTGCAAACGCCCCATGTATCCACACACGCGTTTCTCTCTGTCTTTGCGTCCCTGGACTGGGCCCTGGTGAGGCCTCACCTCGAGTACTGTGTCCAGTTTTGGGCCCCCTACCATAAAAAAGACATTGAGGTGCTGGAGCGGGTCCAGAGAAGGGCGACAAAGATGGTGAGGGGTCTGGAGAATAAGTCTGATGAGGAGAGGCTGAGGGAGCTGGGGGTGTTCAGCCTGGAGAAGAGGAGGCTGAGGGGAGACCTTATTGCTCTCTCCAACTCCCTGAAAGGAGGGTGTAGAGAGGTGGGGGTCGGTCTCTTCTCTCAAGTCACAGGCGACAGGACAAGAGGAAATGGCCTCAAGTTGCGCCAGGGGAGGGTCAGGCTGGATATTAGGAAAAATTTTTTCCCTGAAAGGGTTCTCAGGCATTGGAATGGGCTGCCCAGGGAGGGGGTTGAGGCCCCATCCCTGGAGGTGTTCAAAAGACGGGTTGATGTAGTGCTGGGAGGTCTGGTTTAGTGATGATGCTCCTTGTTTGTTGGGTGGGTGTCTATTTTTGTCAGTTAGGTTGACGGTTGGACAAGATGATCTTGAAGGTCCCTTCCAACCTAGAAGATTCTGTGATTCTGTGATTCTGTCAAAGACTGGAGAGCTACAGACAGGTTTCTCTGGGGCTAATTTGGAGTGGGAGTAGTTGCTGCACAACGGTTACAGCAAGAACCACCGTTTCCCTCGGCCATCCATCGCTCCGTCTCGGCAGGAAACCAAACCGTGTTACGCATGAAATGCTGGCTCCTTTGCTTACCCCAGAAGTTGACTTGCTTTCTGAGGCTACACAAGGAAAAGCTTTAGCAAACCAGATTTTCTGGGCTCATTGGCAGAAGAAAGGCATCTCTCCTTTTTTCAATTTAGGTTGGTTTTTTTTTTGTTTTCCCCCCCATGCAAAGAAGGGTGTATGACCATAAACTGGAAAAGCGGTGAATAGGTTTCAAGTGGGCAATCTCCATCCTGGTGTGGTGAGAGCACGTTACTAGATAGATGTGTCTGTTATTTAAAGGCCAATTGGGAAATGAACTGCCGGGGGAGGCATCTTCAAAGCGGATTTCATCCAGCTGTTTCCCTTGTGTAACATCAGATGAGATGAATCACCTGAAGAGCCTGAATCTCAGAACTACAGAAGCAGCCTGATTAACTGTCTTGGAAGGGAAGCCTTTTGGGTGGGACATTTAAGTGAATTGAGTAAGTTGTACTATTACACAAGGGCATCCTCCCTTCTTTTCATGCAGGCAGGCACAATTTTTGTTGTTGGGGTTGTTATTTTTTTTCTCTTCTGTTAGAATTATCTGCAAAATGGAGGTTAAAACATACCTGTGGGAGTTAGCATCTCCAAAGTAGCAGGTGGCCAGTTCTACTAGGAAAATATACCTGACATCAACATAATCCCAACTGCGTGGCCCCCCGGATATTTCACGCTTTATCCTGTTTATTCCAACTGAAAAGAAACATTCATGGTCTTAGGGCTTTGCATAGAACATAAGATGTTTCTTCAGGTTCTCCGGAGGGAGCCGCAGCCTGAACAGACCAGAGGGGCAACGAGGATTTCACAGCTCTTGTCTTCCTCTTAGTATTTTAATATACATCAAAGCTTTAAAGGAGCTGTTTTATTAATGTTTTATTTACAAGTGTGCAACAAAAGCTCAGAGGAGTCATGTGCAAGCCTTGAATTGTATGGTTAGTAACTTTCCCTGCCCGAGGTGGATACAATAGGCTCGCATACCTGTTCAGAAGTCCTTCTCTAGCCCTCCCAACCTTACCACCTTTTGCATGAAATAATCTGTGTCATCCCAGATGAAACATTCTTTGTGCGCTAGTATTTTTTCCCAGAGCCTTCAGACAGCCGCCCCCACTCTAAAAACTGGGAGAAAATGATCCTTTCTTCCCAGAATTGCCCCATCCTCCAGGTCCTGGCCCGGACTCCACTTCTCCACATCCTGGACCAGCATTGCCAGCGTTGAGTTTTCTTCTTGATTCTGTTGTGGGAGCAGAAAGCCGTGAGCCAGGTCCTGGCCCGGACTCCACTTCTCCACGTCCTGGACCAGCGTTGAGTTTTCTTCTTGATTCTGTTGTGGGAGCAGAAAGCCGTGAGACATCCCAGGCAAGGCTGCTCTATCTGTCCCATAGAATCTCTCTACACCTTCCCATCCTCTCTTCTTCCTCCATAAAGCTCCTGGGCATCAGTCTGGAACACGGTGTCTGTGTTAGTGCATCCCTCCTTTAGACATGTAACTATGTCTTCTTCTGATTTAGCAGGTATTGCACTCTTTATGGCTTTTTTCATCTCCAGAT